CAGGAACAGATCTGATGTAAGGACCTCCTTTATTTTCTCAAATGCTTCCTGGCCTTTGGTTGTTCATTCCCACTCTTTATCTTTTCTCAATAATTCATTATGTGGAGCTCTCAATCTGTGCAGTCTTGGAACAAAAACGTTATAATTGGCAAGACTTAAAAAAAACTTTGAAGAGCAGACACATTTTCTGGTGCTGGCATATTCGTTATCGCCGTAACCCTATCTGGGTCGGGACGTCTTCAGTCTTTGTCAATTATTTGCCCCAAGTACTTAAACCTCTGTAAGAAAAATTCATACTTTTTGTTTTTAATTTGAATCCATAATACTAGATTCTCTTGAACACCTGCCAAACGTGCGATTCGTGTTCCTCGATGCTCTCGCTTTTCATTAGGACGTCATCGAGACGCCACCGCAGAATCCAGACGATTTAACATTGTGCCCATAACCTGTTGAAAAATGGAAGGAGCGCCCGTAATCCCAATCGGAAGTCTTAAAAATTGGTATAAACCCGTGTAGGTGTTTATGCAAAGGAGCTTCGATCATTTCTAGTTCACGGGTATTTGTAGATATGCGTCGCTTAAGTCGAAATATTTTCCTCCACTGAGAAGGCCTTCGACGAACTTAGCATTACGGGCGTCCGGCTACGGCAAACGAAGGCCTTCGAAAATAGGCACTACTTTGATATAGTCGTCCGAAGACGACCACTGCCGAGGCGCACGACGCGCGTCCGGCTACGGCAAACGAAGGCGTTCGACGAACTTAGGCATTTAACGATTCGACTGACTTACGCACTTACCTTCTAAGGCGCATTAAGGGCGTCCGGCGACGGCAAACGATGGCCTTCGAAAAGCGAATATCTCTTCTGGACTTGAAAGGGGATAATTGGTGATCCTTTAGGACACTGTTCAGCCCCGTAGAGAAGTCAGCACATACACGAATTTCTTTGCTCTTTTTTAAAATATAAACTGTGCCCATGAGAGGACCATTCACTATATTCAAATTTGACAGAACTCCCATCGATTCAGTTCTTCGTCAATTTGATTTAACGAGGCAAATGGAACGTTACATTTTTTTCTTCTTAACAACTGGGTTTACGTCTGTCTTTAACTCAAACTTAGCGGATATTTGTGCATTTTTCTAGTTCCCCACCGAAAAAGTCTGGAATTTTTTGTTTAAGTTCACATTTCAACTTATCTACTTCGTCAGTCAAATTTTCGACTATTTGACATGAGTTAATAGGCATATCCCAAAGTTGAAACTGTTCTAACCAATCAGATCCGAACAAATTACTCGTATTCTTCATAATATTCGCCTTTAGTTTTACCGTTAAATGACAGATTGGTTACAAGTTCTCACATAGACTTAATAGGATCTTCAATTACGCTTTTAGCTATTTCGTTCGTTCGTAACAAAGTCGGTTTACTCAGTTTTTTCCATGGTTGATAATTAATTATGGATAATTCTGAACCTGAATCAAGCTGTAGCCTTATATTTTTGTTACATATTTTCATTCAATATATTTCCTAATGTCAAGACTTTCTGGTTCATCAGACTTGGCAATTTTTGCAACACTTTTCTTGGCTTGTTCTTAATCCAGCAGTGGGAACTTTGTGTTCCAATTTATCGCAATTAAAATATTTTTTTTATGTTTAAAAGGATAATCTCTATACCAGTGTAATTGACCACACCCGAAACATGGTCTTGAAGGCAAAGTAACTTTATTTCTTTAATGTGAGCCACGCCACTCTGTTCGATGTTTTTCGAATCTTCTCTGACGCTCATGAAACATTGACAATCTTCGGCAATTTGCTGTAAAGTAACGTCGTGCTCGTTTTCATGCGTGTTGAGTATCCAACGAGGTATTTCGGCGTCTTTCGCTGAAATCAAACCCTGTACGAAAATCAAGCATTCAAAATTATTGGCGCTTAACTCTGTCAATTTGAAGTCATCGCAGTGTTTATTGACTATACTCGCGAAAGTAGTATATTCTTCGTCTTCTTTGTGGGTGATATTCATGCATTTCCAGCGCTTGTCGAACAGCGGTATTTCTGGACTGAAGAGGTAATTCTTGAACTGCCTCTTTAAATTTCAAGTCGCTGGTTTTCTTAAGCAAAATATAGTCATAAAACTTAGTATACTAATACTATACTTTTATTCTGCTGTGACTAATTTCCTGAGGAGTAGGAGAACCATTTTATGGTCAGCCCAATTTACATAATCCGTATTGTATAAGTCATCGTAACGTTTAAAGTACGAAGCGAATGTAATTTCTTCTTCAGGTACAAACGTGAAGTTTTCAATAGCACTCAATATAGAGTTTTGAGAGAACGCGTAATCGGTGTCTTCCTTTTTTTTATGGACATATACAACTGCCACTGTTCATTCTGTGTTTGAAGGAGCATTTATTCTAGTTTCTGTTGCCTAACCTGAATTTCTAAGCGCAATTCTTCAAATTTCTTCAGGTATTCTGCTTGTTCTCGTTGGAATTCCTCTTGTCTTTCTTGATATTTCTGTTCCAACAGTAGTTGTTGTTCCTGTTGGTGTTTCAACAACTCTAGCATTACACTTTTAAATTAGTCCATTTTACTGCGTAAAATTAAGAAATGAGAAGGAGGAATTGTTTTCTCTTTACCCTCTTGAATAAATCTGACTTGTACGATTCCTTTACTGAAAAAATTAAAAGCGGGAGTAATTTTTTTTTCTTTACACTATATGCGAAAACAATAAGACTGTTTGACTTGTACAGTTCTTTTACTGACTTGTTGGAATGGAAAAAATAACAAGGTTCACTAACCTTCTTCCCAACCCCTGAATTGAACTTGAACCTGTAGAAATCCTCTTGTTTTTGGTTTTTTTTTTTACTGTCAGTGTTGTAATTAACGGTGGATACCCTTTTGTCGTAGAGTTGGATTAGAATTCCTTACTTGACCACTGTTGTAGACACTAGCAAAAAAAGAAAAAAAAATTGATTTAACGTGAAGTCGTCGCTAAGATGTTGTGACCAAGTAAATAGTTAAGTAATAACAAAAAACAGATTTGCAGATATATCGTATATTAAATAGTAAGTACAACAGAAGAGTATTACACAACTAGTGAGAGTGTATCTAATGAACTAGCGCTCAATCTATTCACTGTTATATTTAACAGACCCCTCCCAAGAGGGTGTATGTGGCACAAGGCCGAGTTTAACATGGGTTTCTTCGAGCCCGTAGGCTCGGCCAAAAATATTCCCTTTGAACGCGCCTAGACGGGTTCTAGACCTGTCTACCTCCAAGGACGAAACTTTGCCCTTCGGCAAAGCCTCGACCGAGTTCCTCCCTACCGAGGCAGAGAGTTGGACAGCTGAACAATGAATATATTTATATTTAACAGTCGCCCCCTCAAGGAATGTATGTGGCACAAAACCGAGTTTAACATGGGTTTCTCCAAGCCTGTAGGCTCGGCCCAAAATATTCCCTCTGAACCCGCCTAGACGGGTTCAGGAACTGTCTACCTCCACGGACGAAACTTTGCCCTGCGGCAAAGCTTCGTCTGAGTTCGTCTCTGCCGATGCAGAGAGTTTGACAGTTGAACATCTATTCGACTGTTCCATGAAGCATGCTGTTCTACTAATCTTATAGTAGGCGGAAGAGTCTAACATAGACTCTTTAGCGGGAAGACACTACAACAGTTAGTGGATGATCTGAAAATAACGACTTCGTTTTATGATTGCCTTTATGCCTGGAGAGTTACCAATACAGAAATCATTTATATTACAGAATAATATCATAGTCATTTATTGTGTTTGCCTACCTATGTCGACCAAGTGCGGGTTTCATGTCAACACCATAAATTTGCACATTAAGAACTTATTATATCATATACTAGCTTCAAAAGTGCACTCCGTGTGGAGTTACAAGCTAGCTCTTGCGGAGGGATGATTGGGATTCCGCCTAAAACTGAAAAGAGCTCTATTCTAGTTTAGACAACAGTGATGATAATTTTGAAGAAATAAATTTAAATTCCTAAATTCGGTCCATGGAACTTCAAAACCTCACTTTAACTCTGATTGGGCTATGTCAAATTCCGACCAAAAGACCCGTTTAGGTTAAAAGTCCGACTAATAAAACCAACTTTACTTTGTAACCTCTTACCTGTTCACACTTCTCCCCAAAATTTCATTTCGATCAGTCAATGTATAGTTATTTTAGTGGGTATGATGGACTAACAGAAGCCACAGAATTTTTTTATATATAGATATCTAAAATTTTGGAAGTTTTCTACTTCATCTCCTACTCTTTTTCTTTTAATTCCTCATGCCACAAACTCGTGGACATCAGCAGTATTGTCCAATAGAAACTGTAACAGCTCTTTCGCTAATAGATCTTACATAGCAAACTACACAAAAGATAGAAAATTATATTCCAACAAAATTATAATCATAATTTTTCCATCGTTAATGTCTTTTATCAAGCAATGCAGTTCGTGGATCCATGGATATATTAAAATGATTTATATTTTTAATCTGTGTGTGATTGCGTCTTTTCAGACGTGCGGGATTTAAATAACCTCATGAACGTGTTTACGCATCAAGTGAGACTGTTTGTGGTCGCTTTTTTTTTTTTCTTTTCCGTTTTCTTTTGAACCACCTTCAGATTTAGAAAATCGCAAGTCAAGGGAAAACACAGCATGAGTTATGAAAGATGACCTCAGACACGACGCCCAGCGGGATGACTTCATCAAATATTCAGTCCCTTCACTGTCGAAGCAGAATGAGAGAAGGCCTACTGAGTGGTGATAATTAATTACTCAAATAAAGACAGTTCAGTTTGGCCCAAAGACGGATTGAAATTGAATTTCAGTGACAGGGATATTTCAAAACTCTTTAATTACATTTCTCATTCATTCTTTTCTTTTTTTTCTTATCACTCGGTCTTCAGCCCTCTTCCGTCAATTACTTTGTGCCTCTCTCAGCATAAAAAAGAAGACAAAAAGAAAAGAAGACAAAAACAAAAAAACGAATGATATTTTTCTTTCTTTCGTTCCTTCTTTTTTCATTTTTCTTTCTTCTTTCTTCCTTCTTTCTTACTTTCTTTCTTTTTTCTTTCTTCTTTCTTTCTTTTTTCTTTCTTCTTTCTTTCTTTCTTCATTTTTTTCATTCTTTCTTTTTTCTTTCTTTCTTTTTGCTTTCTTCTTTCTTTCTATCTTTTTCTTTCTTCTTTCTTTCTTTCTTTTTTCTTTCTTCTTTCTTTCTTTCTTTCTTTTTTCTTTCTTTCTCTCTTTTTGCTTTCTTCTTTCTTTCTTTCTTCTTTCTTTCTTTCTTTCTTCTTTCTTTCTTTTTTTCTTTCTTTCGTTCTTTCATTCTTTCTTTTTGCTTTCTTTCTTTCGTTCTTTCTTTCTTCTTTCTTTCTTTTTTTCTTTCTTTCGTTCTTTCATTCTTTCTTTTTGCTTTCTTTCTTTCGTTCTTTCTTTCTTCTTTCTTTCTTTTTTCTTACTTCATTCTTTCTTTTTTCTTTCTTTCTTTCGTTCTTTCATTCTTTCTTTTTGCTTTCTTTCTTTCGTTCTTTCTTTCTTTCTTTCTTTGTATTTCTATCATTATTTTCTCTTTTCATTCATTGTATTTGTTTCTTTCTCTTTTTTTCCTTGTATTTTTTTTTACTATTCTTTCATAGTGTTTTCTTTCCTGGGATTTCTTTCTTTCTCATTCTGTTCCTCGTCTTGCTTTCTTTCTCTCAGCTTTCCTTATATTTCATTCTTTCTTCCACTTTTCTTTCCTTGTATTTATTGTATTTGTTTTCTTTTTCTTTCCCTGTATCTCATTCTCTCTCTCTCTCTCTCTCTCTCTTTGGTTTATTTTGTTCTCTTTTCTTTCCTTCTATTTCTTTCTTTCTCTTTTCTTTCCATCGATTTCTTTCGATTTCCATTCTCTTTTCTTTCATGTGTCGTTTCTTTATTTCTCTTTTCTTTCCATTTTTATTTATTAATTTAACTTTTCTTTCCTTCTATTTCTTTCATTCTTTCCTTCTTTCTTTCTTTCATTTTTCATTTCTGGTGTGTCTTGTATTCTTCCTTTATCTTTTCTTTTCTTGCATTTCTTTCTTTCTTACTTTCTTTCTTTCATTTTCCTTTCTTTATATATCTTTCATTCTTTCTTTCTTTCGTTTTTCTTTCTTTGTATTTCTTTTATTTCTTTCTCTTTTCTTTTCTTGTATTCCTTTCATTCTCTTTTCCATCATCGTACTTATTTCATTTTTCTTTCGTTGTATTTCTTTCTCTTTTCTTTCGTTGTATTTCTTTCTTTCTTTCTTTCTTTCTTTCTTTCTTTCTTTCTTTCTTTCTTTCTTTTACAGTATTAGCCATAACTGTTTTCAAGACATTATCCTTGATTTAAGCTACAATAATCAATGAACTGCTTTAGTAGAATTGTCAATGTTTATAAACAAAAGTTCACTGGTGTAATAGTTTAAGCAGAAAAAAATTCAACGACGTAAAATTTCAAACAGCCAATGAAAAAAAAAAGAAAAAAGAAAAGGTGTACACAGGCATTGACTTTCGTAGACTATTGGTTAAATTACTATTTTTAGACCAGTGTGTAATGTAATAAACCTTATCCACACGATACACTGCATTACTGACACCTTGATAAAAAAACACTACTTATATTTAAAACATTTTACTTAACGTTTACACGGAATAAAAGATACACGCATACATTAAACGCATTACCGTTTCAGCAAGTTAGATTCAAGATGAACGATTTTAGTGTATTGCTATTCATCTCGAGGTTCTTGACAAAATCCAAAGAAGGATGGGTAATGTAATCGATCTTGACTATATCGAATCAATAACTACATCTACTGTAAGGAATGTTGGGTCAGTATGTCGTGTCAAAAAGATTTTTCTCCTCAGTACCCATCTTGCACATTTACCATTCACCCGTGCATTGAATATTGCTGCAATATATTGTCTTGTTCTCTTGCTATTCATCTTGAGATTCTTGACAAAATCCAAATAAGGATCTGTAATTTAATCGATCCTGACTTGACATCACGTCTTCTGTCACTTTCCCATCGACAGGGTGTGGCTTCTCTCTGTATTTCTACAAATATTTTCATGGCAACTGCTCTTACGAGCTTTTTTCCCTGGTGCTCCGGCTACATGACTTTAAGCCCGCTACTAGACTGGCATCTAGGTCCCACCATCTTAGTGTTGAAATAGTTAAATGCAACCGCCACTTCTGCTCCAATTGTTTCTTTGCTCCGACTTCACGCCTGTGGAAATCTCTTCCGTTTACTTGCTTCCCTGATAAGTACAATCTTTAAACATGTAAATGCAATGTCAATCGCCACCTTCCATCTTGAAATAAGTTCATGTTTTTTCCTTTCCTTAACTCTCTCTCTGGTCTTCTCTTTTACTTTCATTCCCTGTAAACCCCTGCGTACTAGTGGCATTTCCACCTTAATGACGCTGAAATGAAATAGTTCGTTTTGTTAAAAAAAAATCTAACGCTAGATTAAAAAATATGAAAGGTCGCTAGGAATCGCAGGAAACAGTCAGTCAGTTATATATTATGCGTGACGCATGTAGGCAATCAAATATCGATATATGACTGACGAGGCATTTTTTCCCGCTGTAGGTTGACATTTATGTCTGCGGTGGACAAGTGACCATCCAAGGCTATAGAACCCAGTCTGTCCTACTATTTACACATAGCTGGGAGGAAAAAGATTCATATTTTTCCCAAGGGTATTACCACTTAATGGATTCAACTGGAATTCGAACTCGGCTCTCCGATTCCTCAATCCGAGCATTGATCCACCGTTTACTTCATAGAGAAAGCATCGCGCAACACTGCAACTTTCTACAAAACCAAAACACTAACCTCGATTAATTTTATTTTCTTAAATACAAAAGTCAGCCAGAGACGTTAATATGGGTGTTATACATGGCCCCAAAGCCCTTCAGACACAGCTAATATTACCGTTTCAAATATCATGCTAGCATTACATCAAATAATGAAACAAGAAATATGTCAAGGACACACGGCACAGTGGATAAAGGCGTTAGTTAGATCCGGTGACAGGACCTAAAGAGTGTGAGTTCAATACCCGGTTAAGGCAGTGCAAAACTTTCAGAGGAGATAACTGATAACTTACATCCATTAAAAACATGTCACGTCTACCCCATTGAGCGAAATCAAGGGTTCAATTCGACATTCCAACCACCTGAAGAACGCCAGAGCGTATAACGACCGAAACTTTGTAATAAATATGGCGACAAAGATGAGGGCAATAGTCCGAATAATGTAAATAAAGTCCATGATTTCCTTTGTTTTGAATTCCCGTTATAGACAAATCAATTTGGATTTTTCTTTATCTTGGCCAATTTTATATTCATATCTCGGCTGCTACAACCGGCTGCTTTCTTCATAATTTTATAACATTAAATAACAAGAGGTATTAAATTGATGACCGAGAAGTAAAACTATAAAAAAGCGAAGATCAAAAAAACATAGATCGTAATAAAATCGATTACTTCTTAAGCGGTCTGGCAAAAGATATCATTCCTGATGTGAACACATCCCTATTTTTTGGAGCTGTCCTTTGCTCGCATACAGAACCGATGGATATTGTACTATTTTACTCGTTTGGAAGACGAATATGATGAAGATGAATGCAGAGGAATATTAGCTGGTTTTATTTTTCTTCGTCAGTGAATTTAAATCTTAGAAATTAGATGTTCTCTATCGAGCAATTATAAAACAAATATATCAATTTTGATAAAATATTTCTCTTCAAACCCATTTTTTATACTTCTGAAAATTGCAACGTTGAACTGATTGCAAAAGCAATAGCTAAGTAAATATCAAAGGACTTGTATTATTTTCGTAACAAACAACAAAACTGCCTCATGGAATGTTTACTTTCATTTATATATACGTTTTCGATATTATGAAGAAGAAAGGAAATATCTACCGAACTCTGTGTATTTTTTAAGCATATTCACTCAGAATAAAGACAGAAGAGGTACTAAGGTATAAGGTCACAGAATAAAGTTACTGAATGGACATACGATGTGTAACAGTAACATTGGTCAAATCGTGTAAGAATATAATTGCCTATTCCACAAAATGTTTAATTACCCAAAAAAATAAAAAAATTAAAAGCTAACTAAATAAATGAAAACAAACACTAAACTAATTGAAGTTATCTTTTCCGTGTTTTCAGATAAGACGTTTAGCTATTTTGACACTAACTGTCGTCAGAATCACTGTAAAACTCTGGGTTATTCAGCTAGAAATAAAACTTTTAAAAATCATTTTGAGCCCAACTGCCTTCCCAAATAAGCAACAGTGAGAGGAAAAAAATTATTCAGGCCTTCAGTAATGGTACCAATATTCATACTCTGGCTTCCATCTTCAAAGTCCATTCAAGAATCATCAAGAGAACAGTGTTTAAAAAAGAGGGAACAGTAAAGAAGAAAACTGGATTAAGAAGTCACAACAGGGAAAAGGATGACCATTTCAACAAAGATAAATAAATCAATTAGAATAGATCAAAATCAATCCGTAAGACGCTTGCTACGGAAGAGAGTAGTTTCAGATATGACAGTCCAAAGAGCAGTGAAAAAAAAAACTTGAAAATTTAATTGTGAAATGTGTTAGGCACTTATTACTCCAGGACAAAAAGTTAGAAGGTTAGAGAGGCCGATGATCAGCTGGTATATGTTGGAAAATGATCCTGGAATAATATATATATATATATATATATATATATATATATATATATATATATATATATATGTATGTATGAACTAAATTTCAATTCTTCATGAGCTTTCAATCCTTAGCTATAAGTAATTAATTATTAACATGCCACTTTCGTTTATGATCGATTCCATCACGATTCTTCTGTTAAGTTGGAGAGCAATTATACATTCTTAATGCTCAGAGTGCAATATATTTATAAAAACCTCGGAGAATTCCAGTAAGATATCTTTAATCATATCTAAGATACAACAGTTGAAATTTTAATCTAACGAAATGGCAATTTTGCTGTTACACCCGGTATATCTCATATTTCTGAAACGCAATATATTTGACAGGGACAGTTAACGGCTACATGTTCTGTCAGAAAGAAAGGGTTAAAAGTCTTTCATTGGTGTTTCCTCTTTCCATTTACTTAGAGACTCAATAATGACCCCGATCAATATTTTCACATAGTATAAAGTGTAAACTAATATTTACTCATAATTTCATGCATCTAAAAAATCCATTTCGACAATAAACCAACTAACGAGGTTCGATTCTCTACCAAAATCAAACAGCTAAACGGCAGAAATACAATATATTTCACAGGATCAGATGACAGTCAAAAGTGCAGCAATAAAGAAAATGTAAAAAGAACAGGATAGGTGTATTTTTCTCATTGATCTTTCTCATCGTCTAATCGGGAACGAAAACTAAGGGAATATTTATGCTTAAGTAAATGAGTTCATTCCTCCATTTTTTTCTCGTGATGCTTTTGTCTTTGTAGCGAGTGAATGGCTGTAGTCGGAAAACTCTCCGCTGAATTTGCCCCACTCGATCGCCGACAAGTAGTCGACAACATTTTTCTGCTGGTGACAGTAAAATTTACCCGCAACAGTCATTTGCCTCAGCTTGTATCTCGACTTTTGCCATTTATTATTGCCTTGCTCTTGGTGGAAAGATTGCCTTAGATTTTCGGTGAGAAATAGAGACAGTGAGACAAAGGTGTATTGACCTGAAGACAGCCGAAGCAGCCATCATCGAATCGATGGCCGTAGTCCACCTAAACTTTAGCGCGAACCACAGAGTCTGTAGTGACAATGCTATGCTTAGAAAATTCTTAACAGATCACAAATAAATCTTTATTTCCTTCTAATTTAAATCTAGCTTTTCTTACTTCAGTTGCCTGATTTTGGTATATAACAAACTTTGTGAGTTTACTTAGTCTCGCAATTGTTTTTTTTTTCTCAAAATAATTAAGTCTAGATGTAAACATAATTTTACTTGAATCTATAGGTGAATATTACTCGGGCTAATAATTGAAATTATATTTTAGTCTATCTATAAACATTAGTGAGGTTTTATATTTTACTATAGAAGTATCCAACTGAAAGGAGGCGTATTTTTTGCATGGTGGTCTTGCACTTTTGTGGGTGTGCTGTTGGTCTATTCTTGGTCACACCAAAGTGGCAGCCTTTTTTGTTTTCTCTGTATCTTTGATTTTGCTTTTCATGACAACACTCCTGTTTTTCATATTCTTAGCAGATCTGGAAGAACTTCTTTTTAATTTCCATGACATGCTGTTTACGTTACTGTCGAAGAATATAAAAATGTTACGTGCGTCGAAATCTATCCAATAATAAGGACAAATGAAAAAAAA